AAATAAATTTACAAGGAGTTGCAACCAAGTTGCAACTCAAGTTGCAACTTACCGAGTTGCAACTTCTTAATTATGGTGCTCATCTTTAGATTCTATATTTCTTAGCAATAGATAAATCCCTCTATTCTGCTCTATTTGTTGCTGATTGTGATACAGATGAATGCCTCTATTCTACAGAATATAGTTAATCAATATAGAGTAGTAATGAAGCTTAGACGTAAAGAGATTTTATGCTAGTATTATTACTATAAAGTATATGAGGATCAAGTCAGGGATGTTAAGTCTAAGAATGGTATTGATGACAAATCAGCAAGAACATTGGTATACAGCGAAATCAAATCCCTTCTTTTTGACATTACTGATATAAACTTGCGTAAAATAACTTTAGAGCTAAAAGATCTATATATTGTTTGATGGGATAGGAATAAATAAAATCAAATAATTAGCTGTAACTCAAGTATCATTTCAAATGAATATGATAATCAGATCCAGAACATTATAAATGATTTTTCCAAAAAAGCTACTAATATAGATGTTGTAGATTATGAAAATTCTGTTTTAAATTGGAATAGACACATGACTTCGAAAACCAATAAGTCTGAGAAGCAAGGGAATCTATTAGGAGTAAGTATATTGACAAATGTATTATCTGTATTCCAATCCAATTCAACTTATGATTGAACCTATTTTTGCAACAAAACATTGGATCAATATCCTATTTTATATAAAGAATTTAGTAGCGAAAATTTTGATTATTATGGAATTACTGACAAGACATCATGCCTATTATACAAGTTAAACTATGGCGATGAAGAAAGCATAGAATGTAAATATAAAACCGGATCCTATTTTATTAAATGTGAATAGCATGAAATTAAGATAACTTCATAATCTCATTATTTTATAATACTACATTGCTCACACTTCATTATGTGATATTTTTTTACAGGTCAACTACTACCTAATTAAATTTAAATTGATTCATATAAAAAGCAATATAACCAAGTCTGATAAAATATTAACTCCCAAATATCTGGATTAGCATGCCAAATTAAATGGGTTACCAAGCATTTTGACAGATAAGATTCATACTAAATTATACAAAAGATATAAAAAAGAAACTGGATGTGAATCATGGCAATTATCAGAAGCTGGTGACAAGTGTATCAGCAAAACCTCAAGCCTCTGATTTCAAGCCTATTACTTATGAAGTCACACTCTATTCAGAATTAATTATCAAATCTGTCTTAGAGCATTTCACATACCTGAAATTCTGAAATAATTTTAGGGTGATTGATAATTATAATTTTGTATTAACTTAGCTGTGGGATTCACCATACCCTATCTGTGATGGAAAACATAAGAATTATGGATTACATGACGAATGGTATAATAATGAAACAAAATATTATCTTACCTATAACACAAGTTTGTGATTGTGATTTAGACCGGTCATGTGAAATCAATCACCTAAAAAATGCACAATACAATATTGGAATAACTCTGTCTCTATTCATTAGTTAAATAAACTTAACGGTAATGGATTATAGATTTTTTTTATTTGCAAAAAAATTTAACTTTCTCACCTTGCAAATTGATATATGATACATTGGTAGATCCACTCTTTATTAGCCAATAAATCCTGAAAAGAATTCACATATTATATATCATATGATTAGTTGATAGATTCTAGTTAGAAGTGTGAAGAGTCTTCACAATTATCATATGACATAGTATGTATTATGTTTCTGATCTATGTATTTATTTCAATGCATTGCAAATAAATAAATGTATCACTTTATTTTCACGTATGCTTTTCTGACCAGTGACATTAAATTACTATATAAGAACATTTCCAGTAAAATTAAGTCATGAAGCATAGTAAATTATATGATCCGTAATGTGATTTTACTGAAAATGCTCTCATATGCAGTGTTGTCATAGGACATTTTTGGGACATGGCCTGGGACATTAGGACTTAATGTGGGACATTTTGGGACATAGTGTGGGACAGTTTCAAAATGTTTGGGACATCGAAAATGTACATTACTACTCATATGCTAAATTTTTTGATTGCATTCTAATATAGGGTAATTTTAAAACTCGGGATTAGCTAATTATTGGACAATAGGATTATTGGCAAAGATCTAGAAAATTTTATTCTCAATCTTTCTCACATATTCTCAAAATTATTACGTATATTATTGTAAAAGGACCCCTTGATAATCTTTACATATAGCGTTAAATTCTTTTATTGTTAAATTAAAGGAGAGTCTGTTGATCAGATTTTTATGATGCAATTATATTAACGTAATTTCCTCCAAAAAGTATATAACAAAATTGATCCCATGAATTATATAAAAAGGTCTTATCCGTTTTGTGCAAGTAAAATGAAAAAAATCAAACGAAACAATAAAATTTACTATTATTTACATCATCAATATTATCATTCAAACAAACAAGTATATTCCGCAAAGTAAAATAAGTTGGTTTATTGCTCAGCTAGTTTCTCTAAATATGTTATCATGATGTTAATTGATTTTTCCACCTCTTTAGATATTTCAAAATAAAATGGATATATTACTCTTCTTGTTATATATCGGCATTTTGATCTTTGAGAAAATCGCTGTGTTCAGTTATTTACATTTCAACGATTATTTAATTATCACGTGACTGATGGATGATAAATTGATAATTGATAAAAGGAATAAAAAGAACCTTAACCTAGAACCTGTATCTAGGATAATATCTTAGATCTCCCAAATTTGATTGGTTTATCATCATTAACCACATTAGTTTACCGTTATTAACAATAATAAATCTTTTTTCTTCTTCAATTTTTTCTCCCTTTTTCATGTTTTAAAAATATATTTTAAAAGTTTTGTTAATTAATAAAACTTTAACAGCAGTTCAGGACTTCAGGTATAGAATATTATTATAAAGTTGTAACATTTTCATAAGTAATTTCATAACAAACACGTTTTTCGTATTGTATAGGGATTTCACAACATAAGTTTAACACTTTAGTCAAACTAAATAAGCGAAACATGCATAATTAAAGTTGTTCAGCAAGTATAGAACTGTTTGCATATTAATTTTCACAAGTCTAGCTTTAATGGTTGTGGAGTTATTGATTTTTTGTAATAATATTAAAACGCGTTTTATTTTTTTATTTCAAGGCGTAATTTGAACATTCTGGTCAAAGAAAACAAAAAAAGATTTGTTCAACGGTATGGAAATACTTGCACAATAATTTTCGTGGGCCTATCTAAAATGGTTGTGAAGTTATTGATTTTTTTGTGATAATACAAAGCATGTTTTATAGCATTTAATAATAAAATATAATTATTAATTCTAACATCGATTTTTGGCATATACAATTCCATTTTAATAAAGCTTGTATTTCCAAGGTTAAATAAACAGTTACTTTTTACAATTGTTATATTAAAATATTAAAGTAATTCCATTATGATTTATTGTTAAAAAATCTTTATTTATTCTTTAATGTTTTAGAGTGCATAAAAATTCTGTGCGAAATGCAAAAATAGACAAAATATTTTCCAAGAACAATGTTACATGAAAATATAATGTGGCTGATGCGAACCAATCATATTTAAAGGAAGGGGGGTCTAGGATATTATCCTAAACCAGGGGTCTAGGATAAGAGTGCTCAAGGAATAAACCCTTTTTTTTTTGTAAACGCGCAACCACAGTAGTTATTTTTAGGCAAAAAACAAGATGCATCATTATTTCGCTCGCAATCCTTCGGAATGGAGTATTGAGGGCTTTCTAAAGAATTGTGAAGAACAGAAAACTATAAGAGCGAGGATAGGAGTTTACATTGCATGTTTGAATAAAATCGTTAACGATGAGAATGAGGAAATACCGAGGCGTGAGAAAGCACAAAAGTTGCTCAATAAATATCAAACGGTAATTTTGAGATTTTTTTTTATTAATAGTATAAACAAAAATTGGTGGCGTGACGAAGACCTTTAAGCTCCTCGTCATTCAAGTCTTTAAGCCGAGCCACGAAGCTAGTTTTGGGGCACGGGTGACCTTTATGCTCGCCTGTTGTTCAAGTCTTTAAGCCGACTCAATTCTGGCCCACTAGGGCACGGGTGACCTTTATGCTCGCCTGTTGTTCAAGCCTTTAAGCCGACCTGGTGGAGGACAAAAATTGTGGAAATTGGGAACGTACTGCTAAGAACGTTATTAATTTTTCCAAACTTTCATACTAGGGCGATAAAGCTGACCGAAAAATTGCTATGAATTGGGAATTGGGCCGTGAATCACAGAAAATACCATCGATTAACATTAACAATACAATTTCAGGAGGTACATTTTCGGGATGTGCTCAAACAATTGGGACTATTGATAGCAGTATTTTCTCTGCGAAAAGATATTATGAAGAAGAGGTACTGAAGCGCTTTTTTTTTTTTTTAGCTAGATTGAGGGTCAGTCGAACTAATTATTTGGCATTCCTAATCCTTTAGGACAATTATGAAGAAGAGCAAGAACAAACAAAGCGAGTTCGGTTTGATGAGGAAAAGTCAAAAGAGAAATTATCATTAGGAAAAAAAGTCGGTATACTTAAATTTTTGTCCGCAAAAAAACACCTTTTATGAGAAGTAACCGGGTTAATTTTATTTCTTTAGGGGGGATACTTTGCAGATGGAACAAAAATCAAGAAATCGGCTCCTTTAAACCTTCTTCCATCAGATGATGATTATTCCTCCGAAGAGCACGATAGTGAGGATAACGAACAAGATGACGACGAAGATGCCCCATCTTCAGAAGAAACTCTCAATTCTGTACTTAGTCAAAAAAAATGGATCCTGCCCTCTGGCGAAAATGTTGGTGATGTTATTGCCAGAAACGTATCTGCAAATGCAAAGGCAATTCAAAAGAAGAAAAAAACATCAGCCATTGAAAGAGCCACACTACGTTACGGATCGTCGCGAATAATTGATTTGTCAACAAATATGAAGGATTGGTTCTCCGTAGATGATAGGAAGTTCATGATTAAAAATCATAATGCTATGTTGCAAGTTCCTGCCATGGAAAATGAGGAAAGTTCATTTGTTACTACAGTTGAAAATGTATGTGCATTTTTTCGAGTTTACTTGTTCTGTATGTTCATGCATATTGATTCATTATTCTTGTACAGATGATATGTGAAGAAAAAGCAAATGAGGCGTATAAATTTTGTTTTAAAACGCACTTTAATTCTGAAGAGAACAGCTTCATGTACAAACTTAGTAAAATATATTGCGACTTGTGTGTTATTTATTGTACTACATATTTTTTCAATTATTTATTCTATACTTTCGTGATTTAATTCCGTGTTCAGTATTTATAGATGCAAAGACCAGACAGATATGCTGGATCACGGACACACAGAAATCGATGTAATTCTGAAGACCTGTTCGTATATCATTGAAGGGTTGAACAAAGGTCTTGTAATACGTGAAAGATGGTTTGTGTGAATGAATCAATAATGAGACATATTTCTTTATAATTATGTTTTGCGAGTTATTAACACCATAACTTTATGTATCAAAGGGGTGAGTCTTTTTGCCCATTAACTCGAAGTATAGAATATAATAAGGGTCGCAAATGTGATGTACGCTTCTTATCAACATTAGGAGCAGATATAGGAGAGTGGGAGTTCGCGTCAAATTTCACTGCACAAAAAGCGATTGGTGACCGTTGCCGATCTGCACGGATAAATCAGTCTATTTTAAACGGTTTGTTAAATCGCAACCTGAATGATGAACAAGCCAAAAAAATCAATGTTCCTTTTTTGCAGGTTGCCGGCACAAGCGCTCAAATGTTGGTCGAAGATTTAGTTGAGGGTTTTTACGTTGTCTTTCCCGGACCAACATTCGAATTTCCAACAAAACTGCAACATATCGAAAATCTAAAATCGGCTGTTAATATTATCAAGTTTGTTATGGTGAGCTTATGATATTTCGTTTATTCATTAAGAAGATTTACACGTTACGTGTCTAACTTTTTGTCATTTTGCATAGGATAAGTATAACCAAATAAACAAGATAGTGGAAAGTAAAGTAAGAACACATAATGCGTTTGATGATATTTTCAGCAACAACAATGATCTTAGTATTAGCAAATATGTTCATTGTAAATCCAAATATATTTGTGAACCATGGTGGACCCCGAAAAGTAATAAGTCATAACATATAATAGAAATTTTTTTACTATATGAGAGAATTTTAGTTTAGATTCAGAAAATCGATATATAATTATGTAGTTGAAAATAATATATTTCGTTTAGCAATCTGCATGAAAATATAAGAACATACTGTTAAACTCTATCATCTGGCGAAAGTGATCAGCGTTCCGAAACGGAACGCGCACGTGATTTTTTATGAATATAAATAAATCGTTTCTTCTGCACAATTTTGACGAGTTCGAACACCGTGTCCAGACTCTACCAGAACAAATAGATTTTCGTTCATGTGTATTTACAAACATTTATATTAATAAAGCATTTGTATATCTGCCCATATCGGGTTTATTCTACATGCCACTGCTAAATATCATATAAAGCACTTTTTGCCTAACATTACGGAAAATAATTTGCCAAAATGGTTAGATTATCCCGAAATCCTTTTCAAAGATACTGCGCAATTTTGACGACGGTTACCATAAGAAAAAATAGTTTTCCTAAATTCCGGCTAAATAAATAATCCAAAATCCGATTAGCCAATCATACCGTGATTTTGAGAACAACTCGGCGCATGATAGTGCCAGGGTGATATGATATACGTCATTCTGGCTAATCCCTATTAATCACGAGAGATTCACAAACTGATTTATATACATGTAAATATAAAATTAGCATAGCCGAGAGATGCATAGTACCTTTGGCTAAATCCCCTATATGCTTGTAATCAAATAAAAATGAATCTGATATTTTATTATAATATACATGCTACAAACTTTTGAAATTGCTATAAACTCCTTACACTCATAAAATGGTTAAAACTAACTATTATTCTGGTTTAAATCCTATAGTAATACAGGCATTAAACCATTTGCAATATAGGTATAGTAATGAACACCGGAAATCGGTATTTTCGTGTTCGTTATCCATTTAAGAAACTTCTTGAATATAAACCAAAATACTTTTTGAAAAATAGGATTTATCCATATGACTGAAAGATTATATAAAGATGGGGAATTTAAAGCTGTGAGGTGTTCATTTCATATTTATTGCACTGTATGTACTCCTTAGTAATTATTTGAGAAAATACCATCAAATGTGCGAATGATCACCTGAAGAAATGCATTACTGAAAGACGCCTCGTATATTTTAAACCTATACAGAAAAATGTGAAAAAAGGAGGAAGTGTATCAATACTTACTTCTGATGAGATTGAAAAGATTTATCAAATATATTGTTTTATATTCAGTAAAGGCTTGGCTAATTATAGTTATGTGTATGAATATGAAATTAGGAAAAGACGTGTAAATCGTTTAATCAATAATACAAAGTTATCCAACAGACTTGGAGAGTTTACAAGTTAAGACCTAAGACATAAGCAAAGCGAATTTGGAATATGGTGAGAAATGATAGTACTCCTGACGAGAAGAAGTTTCTAAGTATAACTCCTTACAAAATAAGAGTTCCTGATGATCAGTATATATTGTCACTGGGAATAATCTTCTCTGATTACTTCTCATAATATATCTAAGTTCCTTTACTGTGGTAAGTAACTTCCTTATCGTCAGACTTTACAACCTTAGGGAATCTTATGTC